CCCCAAAACCCCAAAACCCCAAAACCCCAAAATTCCTTACAAAAATTGAAAATAAAAAAAATCAGTAAGCTTCCACAATGAACCCAGTCACACAAGAAACAAAGGATTACACCTATTGCAAGAAGGTTATTCTGAAGAACTTTAATATGTCAGAACAAGAGTTCGACAAGGATCAGCACGAGGTTGAGAGTCTGCAGAATCTCAGTAATATTACAAAGGGGACCAGAAATGCCATCTCTATGTCTTATGAGGATGGGAAGGGACTTCAAAGTGATGATAGTGAAGAGGATGAAAGAGAATTAGCAGATAAGAGTGTTAATGATCAAGATTCACATTATATAAGTAAAGAATTTGGAGAAAGGATTGATCAATTAGCTGAAAATTTTGAGCAACCTGAAGTCACTGAAAATGGTCAAGAGACTGAAGAAGAAACGAGAGAAGTGCCAAACCCTGATCGTATCATAAATACACAGAAATATTTAGAATTAGATAAAATACCTCTAGGTGATCTCATGGATCATCTAGATAAATATTGTGTTGTTCAAACAGGAAAAGATCAAAATGGGAACCCAGTTTATCAGCTCATGAAAGACCTTAGTTTAATTATAGTGAATAATGAAGAAGAGCAAAGCAGTGAACCAGAGTCTGAGCAAGAAGCTGTAGAAGAGAAAGCTGAGCAGAAAGACGCAACTGAGGAGCAAGATAACACAGAGGAACAAGAGGAAGATCAACACATGCCTATTCAAAATGAACCAGATTATGAAGACAATCCAGAACCAGAACTTGGTGCTCAACCCCCTCAAAAAATTGACTTAACTCCTTACCTCTTTAGAGGACAGATGATAAACCCTCTTTTCCTTGACCCTAGTTCTGAATCAGATCAGAATGTTGAAATAAAAGTAGAGACTGATACCTTGGAACATCGTTTGCTTGCTCCCATCACTGACCCTGACAAGAGCGATAAAGAGAAGAATACTGAGGGCACTAAGAGTGGCACTACTGAAGATGAAGCAGACAAAATCATAAAAATTCCAAATCTGTCTAAAATCAGAGTAGACAAAAATGATAAAGATGAAGATATCCAATGTGAGTACTGCCTTGAATTCTACCAAGAAGATGGCAACCAGATTGTCTTATGAGACTTATGTAATGGAGCTATTCACCAGCTGTGCTATGAAAGAGATCTTTCCCCACAAATTCCTGAAGGAGACTGGCACTGAGAAAGATGCAAATTCTTGATGCTAAGGAATTCAGACTGTAAAGAGGAAAATAATAAGGAAATCGATTGTTCATTATGAGAGGATTCACATGGAATCTTAGTGAAAACTGATTGTCTTTCGTGGGTGCATCCCTCTTGTGTCAAATGGATGCCCTTTTTCTCCTTTATGAAGGACCCAGAAGATCCTTTCTATACAGTAGAATGAGATGAAGAAATTGGAAAATTGAGAGATAGAAAATGCTTCTATTGACGCAAAAAGAGTTCAGGAACAATTAGATGTGCATTTAGAAGCTGTTATCACCATTTCCATATCAGTTGAGCTATCAAGAATAAATGTATCCTAGAAGATTCTAAAATGTTAGAGATTACCATTGATGAGTATTCTCCAATTTTCTGTAAAAATCATCATGAAAAAGGAATTGAGTCAGTAAAAGAGAGAGGATTGAAAGGAATAAAAAGATCTAGCAATAAGGAAGGAAAGAAAGGAGAGAAGAAATCTAGCATCAATATAAAAGCAGAAGAGAAAACTAAAAATAAACTGAAAAAGAGAGACCAAAAAGCCAAAATAAAGAGAAAAAAGCAAGAATTAGTAAGAATCTACATCTAACCCCTCTCTCCTAACATTCCCCTTTACCCCCTTCTCCCCCATATCTCACCCTCTAGCCTCCCCCTTCCAAACCCAAGCGCAAGCCCATCCGTCCCTCCCGACTCCCTAAAAGACCTTCCCACCTCCGCCGCATCAACCCCATCAACTACAAAGACTCCTCCTCTACCTCCATGACCAGTCTCCAAAAATCCCACCATCTCAAGACCAGTCTCCACCCAAAACCCCATTCCAAATAAATCAGCCAAGAAGTTACCTAAGCCACTGCCCTGTGCGGTCAAGCTGGAAAAAGATGGAAACAGGAATGGAAGAAGAGAGGTTGAGATAGAAGAAGAAAGTGTAGTTGAAGTAGAAGAGATTTAGGAATTTAAGTTGAATTTTATAAAGACAATTTATAGCACAAAGGAGGGGTTTTGGGGTTTTGGGGTTTTGGGGTTTTGGGG